TGCAACTTCTTTCCCAGCTGTTTACCTTCACAGACATAACCGACTGTTTTTATAACTCGTATGTGTTTTTAACATAAACTTGTGTGCATTGTGTGTGACAGTTTAAGCACAATAAGACATGAAAGAGAACTTGCAGCGTGACAGACGCTTTCTGTGCATATGCTTCGGATGTGTGCGCTCAGAAAACCGTATATCAGAAGTTTAAACTAATATGGCTTTAAAACGCATGATTTCAGCACGATAGACATGATAATAAAAACCAAACAGATGTTTTTTGGCAGAGTATCTGAGGTACGAGATGTAAAAGCACTGCCCTATTCTGGAAAAGGGGGTGGGGAGCAGCAGCTCATTTGCATTTAAAGATACATGCATGAAAACAGTGTGTTTCTGCTTCCACTCAAAATAGGCATTTTCAAAATGATATAATAAATATCTGTGGGGTATTTTGAGCTGAAACCTCACATACACATTCTGGGGACACCTGAGACTTATATTGCATATTGTAAAAAGCGGCATAATAGGTCTCCTTTAAGGCATCCTTGCTTAATAAAAGTGTTAATTTGTTTAAAAAAAATCTGTGTCCTTACTGAACAGAAGTTGAATAGAACTAACTGTAAACATGTTGACTTTGACTACATAACTTACTCAGTAATTGCTACTCTTCCATCACATAAGTTGACCTTAAAGAGATCTGAAACTAGCCATAGTAGTGGTTACATTGTTTTGGAATGCAACAATGTACAAAATCACATTTGCATAGCTTTTCCTTATTCAGTCCCTAAAAGACTTTTCATTAATCTATCAGCCCCCGCATGAATGTGAGTAAGTGTGTGTGTGTTACTAGCACGGTGGTTGTAAAATTCTGTAATTGGATTTCCACAGCAGCATTTGTATATGCACGCTTGTTCGGGCTGACTGCAAGCCACACTGCCTCCTAAAAATGAGTGTTAATTCTTTATCAATAGTTCGTAAGACTCTCAAAGTGTGACAGGATTCAGATGTACATGGATCTGGGCATGCTGACAAAATTTCAAGCTATGACAGCAGTTTCCTGCTGGGTAACATGCTATACTTCATTTAAAACCACTTAAAACATTTTTCTAATTTTTGTATAATTATTATACATCCAATTTTTATGATCTCATGCTAATTTAATATTTATATATTTTTAAATATTCATGTAAGATGCACTAATTACTGAAACATATAACTTTCAGAACTTGCTTCACAGTCCAAAAAGATAATTTATTTAAGCTGTGGGGGAAAAAAAAAATCTTGTTCTGAACTTCTGCAACTTTACATGAATAAATTATCACATGGTCATCCGCGTTTACACATCAGTGATGCCTACTGGGTGATCAGAAACACGGCCCACCCAGTCATGGTGAAACTCAGACAGATGCAACATGTTAAGGATCAGAGAGAAAGGAAAATGGTCATTAAAAACTAAAAATTTGTTATAATAAAATGTTTGATATGACCCTTTTAAGAATTATAGGGGGTTTACATGGTGAGTATCTCAGCATATATCTCAGTTCTTATTATACACACTTTCCCTCATACATTTCTATAACATTTAAACTAAAATGTTGATATAAAAAGGTAATCTACCTATTTACGGTACATACACAAGTGTCCCTCGCCATTACAGCCTCCCTGCATAATATAGCATAGTATTTCTATGCAAAGGTACATATTCAATACACTATGAGAGGCATGTGTATAAAAGTTATTATATGAACAGATTCAATGGATCTGAAACGCCTTCCTCTGAAATACCACTTTAACACTGCCATTATGGCAGTGCAAGCCATTACCGCATAGACACCAAATGGCCTATTTTACGGAAACAAAAGACATCGCACTGAACTAAAGGCCCACTCAGAAGAGCGATGATATGTTGATTCGTTTGCCATAAAACAAGCTTTTTAAAATACATCCGGCTCTGGCAATTATACACCATCAATTTGATAAAGTACACAGAAGACTATAAAGCACAGAATATTTAGCCTCTGAGAGTTTCATTAGCAGCTCAACTGCCGTGTTTTATGGCGCAGACACATTTTAGGTCAAGAAGCGCCGCTCTTGTTTAGATCTAATCCCCGTTTAGCAATGCACAAATTGATTCCAAATCTAATTATGCTCCAAAAAATTATTATTATTTGAATACACGAGATTGAAATATTTACTCTGCATCCACTGGGTTGACAAGAAATACAGATTTAAGTTTGCAAAAATGACAGGAAAGCTACAGCAAAAATTCGACCAGAATGTTTAATGCTCTCAACTTACGAAATAGCTTCATTAGCGTGAGATGGAATTCGAATCCATTTCACAGTCGCACAGTTCTCCAATTACTTCGTCCTTATCGTTTCGACAATTAAGACTACTCAAGCTAGGCGGCTGGTGGCGAGGTGAGCGGCGGATTTAACCGAAGTGATGAGAAGAAAGGTGAGGATGGAGAGACGAGGGGAGAGAAGAGAGAACAGACTTATCTGGTGCAGTGCAGTGACATGTAGTGTCTTTGTGGAGGCAGTGCAAAGGTTTGCTCATGACTATCTAAATGAGATCAGAATATACAAGACAAGAGAGAACAGGTTCTGCTCCAAAACCTAGTGAGCTGCTTATATCTGCAACATTTTTACCTCACAGAAAATGTTTTTAATTATGTCATTATTTACTTGTGTTGTTCCAGACCCATATGCTGTTATATGTGTGTTATGGAAAAACAACATAGGCCTTTCTGGAGAATAGTTACACAGATTTTACCATACAAGAACAGTTTCAATAAGAATGAGTAAATAGGCCTAATGGGTTAACTGCCCCTGTATTACAGGTGCAATTCCCCCCCAAAAAAGGTAAGCAGCATGATTAGGCCTAGTCCCAAAATCTAAAAAAGCATTACATTTACAGCATATTTCATGGAAAAGGTAATGCATTGTTATGAGCTCAGTGAAAGAATTCTTTCAAGATAGCATATGAAGTGCAAGAAATGTTGATTTCTTATATATAAAATATTGTTCAAATGCCGTTCTCTCACTATTTTTTTAAGTCTCTTATGCTCACCAAAGCTGCATTTATTTGATTAAAAATACAGTAAAAACAGTAATATTGTGAAATATTATAAAAATAACTGTTATAATTAAAATAAATGGTACAATATAATTTGCAATTGTATTATTTTAATATATATTAAATATCATTCATATCATTAGTGTTAAAACAGTTGTGCTGCTTTGTGTTTTTGTTCAAACAAACAGCATTTTCTTTTAGAAAAATAAAAATAAAAAATTGTAATAATGTAAAAATCACTTTTTTTCAGTTTAATACATCCTTGCTAAATAAAAGTAATAATTTATTTTTTTAAAATACTGACTCCAAATTTTCAGCAGTACAATTATTTCACTAAATAAAATTTAACAGAGTACTGATAAAACAGTTAATTGAAATTATAAATGGAGTGTTCTATTCTGTGAAGCTTCACGTTTACTGTAAGAAGCAACAAGTGAATGCAAAAATCAGCTGAGAGCAGAGTCTCCTGTGTGCTTTGCTCTTTGTATGATGCACAGTTTGGAGTTGCTGTTCCAAATCGGTTACTTATGTGGTTCCATTTTAGTTAGTATGCTTGCTAGATTTAGAACACAGTCACAGAGAGACAGAAGTGCCTGTTCAAATAAAGGGGTTTTCTTTAAATAACAGATTTCCTCTCAGAGCTCTTGAAGATGGAATGAAAACAAAACTGAGCGAGAATAATGACAGTATGTTGGTACCCTGATGGAGGGACAGAGTGAAATGACAGGTACATCTGCAGAAGGGAGATGAAAGAGGAAGCAGGAAGGACATTATGATTAATTGGGGTGTATTTGAGAAGGGAAAATTCTCCTACTTGACCCGCCAAACCATTTTACTGTATGGAGAAGTCTATAAAATTGATTGTCCGTTACATTAATAAATGGTGATATCATCAGGGCAGTACAAATTTTTTTCTGCCATTCGGGAAAGTAAAATTGCTCTGCTCTGCTCATCTGTGTGATACTGTCGTTAATACAGATACATGGTCTCATAGAAATACTATTAGCAGGTCCAGACAGAATAACCATATTTTCTGCACTTTTATAGGGGAAAAAGTGAAAATAATAAGGAAATATGCAAAATAAAAGTTTATGATAAAATAAAAGTGAAATATTTAGGTAAAATTTTTGCTGTTTTTATTAAATGTAATTTATCCTTGTCTATCACTTTATGGATAAACACAGATACAAAAATATATATTATTTCTTATAAAAATTCACTACTAAATTTAATAAAACAATGACGGGAGACCACAGGATGGTTTCAAACTCATTTTCAGCTCCCTGTACCACAAAACCAGTCATAAGGGTCAATTTTTTAAAATTAAGATTACAAATTAGAGAGTCAAATATTAGAGATACAACTATTAGAAATTTGGAATCTGAGGTTGCAAAAAAAAAAAAAAATTCAAAATATTGAGAAAATCGCCTTTAAAGTTGTCCAAATGAAGTTCTTAGCAATGCATATTACTAATCAAATATTAAGTTTTGATATATTTACAGTAGGAAATTTACTAAATATCTTCATGCAACATAATCTTTACTTAATATCCTAATGATTTTTGGAATAAAGGAAAAAATCTAAAATTTTGACCCATACAATGTATTGTTGGCAATTGCTACAAATATACCCATGCTACTTATGACTGATTTTGTGGTGCAGGGTCACATATGAATTGCATATGAATATGCAAGGAGCAGGGGATGTTTATAACTTAGTCATTGAAAGGCATTAAAATTTCGTGGAAAAGTTTCTGCAGAAATGATCTGCCGCAGAATCTGTGTGGGCCTGCCTATTAGCTCTCCATCTCTTCCAGCTCATGCTAATGACACAAGAGGACTGTAATGCAAACTATCTGCCATGAGAGTTTTTTTCCAACATGAAAATGTCAAAAATGGTTTCTTTTCTTCAAGAGAAATAAATCCAGTACAAGTTGTTTTGTGAGTGTTTTGTCCTTAAAAAGAGATCCTTACGGGTGCATTAGCGAGCTTTTCGAGGCAGGGGTAATGACATGTTTTTGAGCAGTGTGACTTAGCATTTGACTGCATTATAAGAGCACGTCTGGGGAAATCAGAGTTATGGCGTGTTGTGATCAAGCTTGTTGAAAGGAAGCCTGTAAGAGAGAGACAGAGGATCTGGCTACGTGTGAGAGTTTTGAGGGACCTGAAGTAATTAATCTCGGCAGTTTTAAGTGCAGCTGGTTTCTGCGGCTACGTGTGAGAGGAGAGGGAGAGTCAGGCTGCCCGTCTCTCTCTTCAATTATCCTCCACTGGGAGGGCAGTGGCGTGCCACGGCCTGCTGGAGGTGCCGGACCGAGCCTGTGGAGAAAGCTGGAGAACTCTCACAGAGTGGAACGACTCTTCACCTCACTCTGGCGGCTGTCTCTGCAGAGTCTATATATTATATTCATGAGTAAAAGTTACTTCTGAGAGGTTTTTTCTCCATCCTGGTTGATAAGGTATGCTATGCAAAGTAATATGAAATTTAAAAATTAATAATAAGCCACAATAGGCTGTTTGTTACAGTGATTGTACTACAGAGAGACTGTAGTAATAAAGATTGTACTACTAGACAGAGGTATTCTAGAACCCCGGCTGAAATGAGGTAAAATCACTGTAACTCATGGCCTTGAATAGCATAATGCTTTTAGAAAATGGTCTCACCCAGTGTTCCCTCTAATTTACGTTCTTGCTGAGCAAAACCTTTTTCTATCGGGCAGACATTTTGGCCACCTGAGCAAAAACATATGTTATACCAAAGGTTACAGTTGTAACTTGTAATTTGAACTAAATAAATAAGTAAATAAATAAAAATTTATTAGGGTCATAATTTAACACTTTAGTATAGGAATCAATTCTGTTTATTAGCATACATATTATTAACATGTTAAAGAATTGTGTTATAATAACCCCTACAAATACAACTCATTATATACACTATAAACACTTTAAAGGAGACATACATGTAGATGTTTGTGAAAGATGTTTTCTCTGTTTTGGAGGGATGATTATTTTTACAGTAAATCATACCCTATTTATTGCATCAAAATTTGTTAATACTTTACTATATTTAAGGGTGGATAATTTTATCAGTTGTTTATTGCAACAATACATAACTACAATAACTTTGTCTAGTGCTCTTATGAAAGTTTATAGCATGATTTGTGAAAATTTAACTATACTGAATGACATGGCATAGACTTCTTCATGGCTAGTTTTTGCGTATTTCATTTAATTCTGTAACCTACTTGTTCTACAGATCTGTGTGTACTAGTGTTAAATGCTGCTGTTTTTGACAGCATTGATAACGTTTATGACAGATAATATCATGATAATTTCCACGTTTCCCTTATCGAATGTCGTATCCTCGCAGCAAAAACCTGTCCATGGGCTTTTTTGATTGCTTTCAGTTTAAGTGCCGGCGATGTAACAAAAAACTAAAAATAAATAAAAATAAACCAAAATTATTTCCAATATTTTGCAAATAAGATAAGATAAAGATATCGCTTACTCTAAACTGCAACTTTCTACTTTAACTTTCTAAAGTGTTAAATTAATTTAAATTAAATTAAGACAAGTCCAAAAATGCTTAGAGGCTGCGCCCGCGCCCTCACTCACAACTCAAGCCTCGTTCACTCTGCTGCAGCGTCTTGCAGCAATCATTTTCATAACAGGGACGCTAAACATTCTTGCAAACTGTCTAAACTGAATTATACATGTCATGCAGGCATTCATATGAGGAGCTCAATTTGCATATGAGCAAATTAGTCATTCAAAGAACAAATTTTGTTTTTTGAACATGAAAAATTTACCGAGGCCCGGACCTCGGTGGCCTCATAGCTGGCTACGGGCCTGATTACATTTAATGTGATTTCACAGTAAAATACTGTTAAAAATACGGTTTTTGGAAGTGAAAAAGAAAAGGTCATTGTATAATTTACAGTGAAAAACCGTAAATTGACACTCCCAGAATTCCCTGCATGACAATTCATATTTTATGTTTTTTTGTTGAAATAACATGTTTCTTAGTTTTTTTCTTATCAGTTGTGTACATTAGGGTTTAATCTTACATCTAATGTTGTTAAATTAATGTCTATTGCATTATTTCAGAATCATGTGTGTCACCATGATGGGGTTTAGTGTTTGTGTGAATGACACTGTGTGCACCTTCTATATATAAGTATTGCCCTTCAGTTGTGTACATTAGGTTTTAATCTTACATCTAATGTTGTTAAATTAATGTTTATTGCATTATTTCAGTATCATGTGTGTCACCGTGATGGGGTTTAGTGTTTGTGTGAATGACACTGTGCACCTTCTATATATAAGCATTGCCCTCCTCAGCTCGTAGAAAAGCTGTTTGTGATGAGCTTTGGTTCATTATGTGACTTTCTCATCACCACCTGTTTTTGGTGGTTACCAGTGCATTACAATGGTTCAAAACATTAGTACTTCAATTTATTAAAGGGGTCATATGAAGCATTTTAAATTTTTCCTTTCTCTTTGGAGTGTTACAAGCTCTTGGTGCATAAAGAAGATCTTATAACTGTGTGCTGACGTGTGCTAAGAGCTAGGCCATGTGTCTTGGATAAGATTTTTATTTTTATTGTTTCATTTTCAAATGGTAAAACAACACAAAAAAAAGGATGGCTGTATCATATCAAACGTGGGTGCGGTGTATTGGTTAAAGGTCTTGTTGGGTAACTGAAAGTGGAAGGAAGGAATGATCATCACACACTAGAGTTTACGTTGTAAATCCATTAATTTCAATGCAGAACATTTTAAAGCTAGGTATTGTGGAAGTGTCATTTCTCACTGACCCACTTTTTTTTGACCATTATGAAGTCACTATTAAGTTTCTGACACTCACAGCTCTGACACTGGTTCTCCTTTGGCCCCCAACAGCGTCCATTACATCCTCTATGACATCTCTGACCTGCAACCAGGAAAGATAAAACATTTAGTGATCACAAGTTTCTGCATTTTAATAAAAGATTACTCAAACAAACAGTATTTATTTCGAATTCACCGATAAGACCAGGAAGATCAGTGTCAATTTTGATTTGTGTGCATTCTAATCACACTATTGTAACCGCAATCTGGATCATTCCGCTTTATAGGACGGAACTCTTTACATCCGCACTGACCCTGTTCTGATGAAGTGGGAAAGAGTCGTCGCTGACTGACAGAACAATGTTCTCCCTGACGCTCTAGAGCTCTGTCCCAGCGGAGACGGCCCTTATGGCTTTGCTACACTCATCTGCGGTGGCTGTTCTGCCACCCAAGCTTAATTGACTGTTGGGTAATTGCAGTGTGAGCATGGCTGACTGATGGAGTGTTGTCCTCTGTCCCTGTTCCACTTCAGTTAAGAGTAATTACACTAGTGGCTTACTCTCTTCAGCTACATGGGCCAGGCACTTTTGACTATCTTCCCTTTCTTCAGGATCCTTTGATGAATAGAAAGAACAATAGTACACTACTATTCAAAAGGTTGGGGTCAATAAGTTTTGTATTCATTTATTTATTTTGTAAATAAATTAATTATATTCTGCAAGGGCACGTCAGTCAAAAGTGACAGTAAAGACAATGTTATAAAATATTTATATTCCAAATAAATGCAGTACTTTTGAACTTTCGAGTCATCAAATAATTCTAAAAACAAAAATACAGTTTCCACAAAAAATAAGCAGCAAAAACTGTTTTAAACACTGATAATAATTTAAATAATAAAAGGTGCTTGAGCACCAAATTAGTATACTATAAAGATTTCTGAAGTATCATGTGACACTGTCGACTGCAGTAATGTACTGCATTAATGGCTGCTGCTTTGCATCACAGGAATAAATCACATTTTTAAATATATTAATATAGAAAAGTCATTTTAGACAAAAAAAAATATTTCATAATATATTTTTACTGTATTCTTTACTGTATCAAGTAAATGCAGCCATGGTGAGCATAAGAGACTTCTTTCAAAAACATTTAAAAATCATACTGCCCCTAAACTTAAACAGTAGTGTATTAACAATCCAGTTTAGTACTGTACCTCGTGCTCTGACTGGTCAGTACTACTCACATGAGCTGCTGCTATTGGATGGCACAACCAGGTGATCAGGGCGAGCGGTCTTCACTATATCCTGCCAGTGGATGGTATCGGCATGACACAGGAACTTGTTCTGGTCCACATACACCCCTCCATTCAGAATTTCTGTTAAAACACAGACAGCAACAATAAAACACCACTGACTACTTAATGACTTATGTCAGTGGACACCTCTGAGCATATCGTTCCACTGAAGGTGACCTCATCACTATCTTACGTTACATAGAAAGAGCAAGGTAAGGCTCCCTGGAGAACAAAGATAATGTATAAAATAATTTGATTTCTTCACTCAATGACTCTTTTTGACCCTCTGGTGTCATTACTGGCCTACTTCTCAGGTTAGTGAGCCTGGAATCCACAGTCAGACGAGACTAATGCTTTAATGGAACAGTTCACTCAAAAAGGAATTTTCTAATCATTTACTCACCCCCATGTTGGTCCAAACCTGTATGACTTGTGAGAAACACAAAAGGTGTCATTTTAAATAAGGTACTATTTTTTTTTTTTTTTTTGGAATTACAATGAATAGGCACTGAAGTTTTAAAGCTTAAAAGGACCAAAACTACCAATAAATTATTATAAACACATGATGTGCAATAAATACGCAGGTATTTTGAAGACATACCATAGTCTTATGTCAGGAACAGACCAAAAGTTCAAGCTCTTTTGATGTTCAGGAGTGTTCAAGTAACACACAACAATGTGAACAATTTATTCAAGTCTGATCTTTAGAATGAATGTATAAGTCAAAATGATAAGTTCAGAAAAATTAGTAAGATTTTTTTTCACACATATTGCATGATGTATAACTCACTAGTCAAATTAGGGCTACATCTATCATATTTATGGTGTATTTCCATTCTTTTTGGAGTTTGAGAGCTCCAGTCCCCATTCTTTATAAAATGAATGTCAACATTTCTCCTTTTATTATCCAAAGAAGAAAACATTGCAAGTCATACAGGTTTGAAACGGCATGAGGGTGAATAAATAATAACAGAAATTTCATTTTGGAATGAACTTAAAAAAACATAAAGGCTAGACCAATTATACTCTTACTGCTATTATTAATAACCCTAATCTCTTTTTGTTTTGATTTTCTCTTCATTGTATTTCTCCCCACTTTCTTCCTCTCCTCTGAGAGATGTCTACTCCAGGCAGACACAAACAGAGGGAAGGAAATGATTACATTCCCAGACAATGTCAGAATCAGATCCATCCTGGATTTGGAGCGCCGACATTCTGGACAGCAGCGCTAACAGGTTTGTAATTTCATATTTCATCTGCAGGGAGACGCCTCTCAATCCTTTGCCCTAATATGCATCATCAGTCTCACACGGATCACCGGATTTGAAGAGATATCAATCTGCTGTTCCCGTCCCCGTGCGTTCACGGGCGAGACGTCTCTGTTTGGGCACACCAGACAACAATGAACATGATCTTAACGTGTCTAGAGTAATCCTCACTTGCGTGGACAAAAACACTAGAGAGCTTATAACAGATTTGCATTATTTACTGCACTGGATTTCTCTTTCACGGCTACAGGAGATTAGCCAGGTGGCAGAAGAACAGATGAGACGTATTCATACCACGGGCCATCTGAAACTGATAATAGCCTAACAAAAGCCTGATTAAACTGTACCCCATGGATGATTGGAGACTGCTCTCTCTACAGTGCATTGAGAAACCTGTCGCTCAATGGATAAATTAATTTTAGCATTCTCTGCATCTGACATGCTGGGAGGGCTGAACGCAAATGTCTTGCGTTATCCTAGAGGCAAGAATCAGAAAAACAAATAAATGCAATGGCAGAAATCGGCAGGGGTCCTCAGACGGCCCGACCGGTTGAAGGCGACTCAGGAATGCCGTCTTTCTGTCTCTACAGACGATTCTCTCCAGCTTCACTGAACCTTACTGCGTACATCATTGCTAGTTTTACTTGATCTTAGTGCTGCGTTCGACACTATAGATCATGACATACTCATAGATCGATTACAAAACTATACAGGTATTCAAGGGCAGGCTTTAAGATGGTTTAGATCCTACCTGTCCGATCGCTACCACTTTGTTCATTTAAATGGGGAGTCATCTCAATTATCACCAGCAAAATATTGTACAAATAAACTTGACTTGACTTGACTTGACATCAGATAAAAACACCCGAGGGAAGAGAGAGCCCACAATTGAAAACTACAGAGGCTCAGTCAGCACCTATTATGTTATTATATCAAAATATTGATCATACAAGAGAAGACTAAACATTAAAACAGATAATTGCATTTGTTTACATGCAATAGGCCCTATTCATTAAAAAAAGTTGTGGCTAAAGCTAGTTGGACAAGTTCTTACTTCCTTACTCAAAGGTCCATAATTTTCAAAGACAACATTCAAAGCCCTCTACACAGGCTATGATATTTCCTGTTGTACTTCTCTTGAACTTAGTGTTTTGTCCATAAAGTGAAAGTTTTATTTTGGACCCCACTGACATTCATTGTACAGGAAAAAAAGCATTCTTCAAAATATCTTTTGTGTTCAAAAGAAGAAAATCAGTCATAAACCATGTGTTTAACAGTTAAACATTTATAGATTTAGATTTAACATTTCAATTTGATATTTAGATTTAGATTTAATGATTATATTTAAGATTTTTTTAAGTTTGACATTTACATTTAATATTTATTTATTCATTTAATCCTATAGCATAACAATTTAATTTAAAAGATACATCTGGAAAAATAGGCTACATTATCACCCTAATCTCAGTTTCTCAGCTAGCACAGATTGGCAGGCAAGTTACGTGTAGGCAGTCTAGATGCCAGCACTGGCGCTGGGTTCAGTAAAGCGTGTTCCTCTCGGCTATCATGACAGCTGGTTTCATTTGAATGACTGCTTGATTTGTTTTTGGGTCTGTACAAGCTACAGTTCAACTCAATTTTGTCTCAAATGAAGTGAAAACATTAATGTCAGTCATTTGGAAACGCACACACACAATCGTGTCATACCTGCGCACTTAAAACATGGAAGAACTTGAAGCATGTTAGAGTAAAATGAGTCTTGGCTCTGTTCCAAAACCTAGTGAGCCGCCTTACTGTCTACTGCTTACATAGGCAGCATCCTTCAAAGGCAGCACCACTGCAAGGCAGCAGTGACTGATTTGGAACACAACTCTGTGCATTATACAAACAGCGCTAATGTAAAGCACACAGGAGACTCGACTTGATAACTGATTTCAACAAAATTAGCTGTTAACATGTTACTAAGCTAATGGCATGAGACTAATAAGCATAAAAAATACATACAAACACATTTTAGTCCATTTTTAATTATAATGAACTATTTTCTACTGCTGTGCTTCAGTGTTTAATGAAATATTGCTATCGTAATTCGATTTATCTGCCAATGTGAATTGATCTTTGTCACTTAGTTACTGTGTGAGCAATGCCGTATGGGATTGCCATCTCTGCTGAGCATAAACTAAAGATGCAATGTAATTCTGTTAGAACTGGGAATATTAAGAATATTAAATTGTATCTTACATTTTGGAACACCCTTTGAACAAGAACATGCCTATAGCTATGTTTCCATGCACAAACTTCTGTGCACATTTTGGGATATTGTATGACAATTGCTGAATAGAAATGCTGAGATGTACATAAAATCTGAAAATGCACATACAAATGTATGCACTCAACGGAGTTATTTTTATCGAATAAGAATAAGAATAAAATCGTCAATTCGCAAACAAAAAACTAATGTGACCAGACTAACCAGTCTTTTGCTCAATTCCTGAGCAAAAGTCTGTCATCAAAATTATTTTGTACAACTACCTCCCAGAACTGTCACACGGTTACATTTCCAAAAATTAGGCATCCGCCTCCAAACACAAGATAGCATGACATCATGACAGCATTTGTTACTGCGTTTTGTCTGCATGCACTAAGACGCAAGACATTTATTATGTAGGAAAAACATTCATTTTTATTATTGATACTTTGTGCCAGTTTCCCAGGAAGTCACAATTTTGCTGAACACATGAGATGGAAACATTAGGGTTAGGGCATATTTGCAAATGTTACATACGATATTTAAATTTTCCGCACAAAAGATAAATTCGCAACGCTGGATGGAAACATGGTATACGATGGCTAAAAATGCTGCGTACGCAAGCTAATATGAAGATTAATAGATAATGATTTTTTTTTTCTGGGCTTAAAACAATCCGTTTCATTTAACTAAATGGACCAGAACAGGACATCATGGCACCAGCGGTGTAGTATGCAGTACGTGGGATCTTTCATTAGCTCAACTTGAACTAGTCAAGCGTCTTCTTTAACAAGCACAGAGTCCTAATCCAGTAGTTCATTCACTGTAACACTTCCTCTATAAGATGGCGAAGCCTATCAGGCATAGATATGGCCGTCTATTCATCACAGAGTGCCAACATCACCCCGGCCTTATGCCAGTCACTGCCAGCAGTCTGGCTCTACGTGTGGCACAGAGGGACTGAGCCTGGCAGGGCTTATGAGGAATGATATGCCAGACTGTGCCAACTTCCCCTGCCGCCACTGTACAAATAGGTGATCTTCTGCGCCATCCATCAAAGTGAGGCTCTGCACCACACAGCCTGGCCTCTCCAGCCGTGTTACCAAGGAGATGCTGTCTGGGTAAAAAATGCAATGAGTAAAGCTGAGCAAACAACGAGAGGGAACACAGAGTGATTTTTCTTTCCGATGAGGAGAACAAAAATCGCCCTGGACCCAACATATCAGGACTTTGTGAGAACAATAAACACTTTGTGTTTTAATTGTAGTTTAACCGAACATTATTGTTCTTTGCACCATTGAGGGTGATATCTGTCATGCTGTCTTTATTCTTTTGTGAGAGTGAGTGCACTAAAATCACAGGCTAAATGCTAAACAAGACCTAAGAGAGAGAAACGGCAAGACTTTTTATGGATTCATACATATTTCACCGGAAATTTGAAGACTGCGTGCCCCTCTGTGTCCAATTTGAGAAAAAAATGCAAGTAATTCCTTCCATGTGCCTCTTATCACAACTGACCAATACAGAAATGACTCAAAACAGAGTCTACAACTGTCAGAGAAAGG